TGACTGTGATGTCACAGTGAGTGACATCACCGTGACATCACTGCAGGGATTGTATATATAGGGGGGCGGAGAACTTTCAGTTTGCATCCAGAAACCTCACAGCCTTTCACGCTGCTCGACCACGACATTTCTTCACCGGCTAATCTGCACCAGAGATACAAACAACCAGAAAAATGAACACGAAAGAATCTCTCAATGCACCACGGAGTGACGCGGTTGAAGACGTGCTTTCAGATGGTGACGTCTTTTTTGAGTGCCATTCCCCCACTCACTTTGGGGAACCTTTAAACCAGCCAGAACCCGGCCAGCGCTCTGAACACGGCCAGCTGGAGAACCAGTCCCAGGTTTCTGAGCTTTATTCTGGAGATCGAGAACAACCGGTGGAGCATGCGACACCATTACCGGAAATGGACGTTATTTTAGTGGACGACCGCTCCCCACATGAGGCCCACCCTCAGGGAGAAGGGACCCTCTCTCAGGCCCCTGGTCCCCACCAACAGGGACCAAACCCTCAGGAACCATCACTGCTCCGCCCTGCCCACGAGCAGATAAACGATCTGGAGCAAGAACTGGAGAACCTGACGTCTAAGCTGGAAGAGATTAGTAATTTGCTGAGGGAACAAAAGGAAAAAAGCGATGCTCTAGAGTCAGACGGCTTCGACCACAGAATCGATCTGATGAGGCTTAAGCAAACTTTCAAGTGTCTGGGTAAGAAAAAAATGAAGTATAAGAACATGTTCAGAAGCTCTAAAGCAAGTTTTAGAGAAATGCTTGATTCCCACAAACTGCTCAGAGAAGAGAGGGAGAAGCTAAAAGAAGAGCTGAAGAAAACGGCTGCCTCCAATTCTGAAATGTCCTCCAAGTTAAAATCCCAGAGGAGGATGATCAAGAATTTGAAAAGAAAGAAGAGGGAAGAGCAATTACAAAATTTCTACAACACAATCTTCAGCCAACCGACAGACAGTGAAGCGAGCACATCGGAGCAGAAAAGCGAAGAACTGGATTCCTTCAAAGAGGAGAGCCAAGATCTAGCTGAGGAGAACCAAAGAGACGTCATGCCAGAAAGCCAACCGGGTGTTTCTGGAGTTCCAGGAGTGAAAGAAGAGGAGGCTTCAGAGTCCGTAGAGCAGAAGAAAGGGATGGATCCTGAACATGTGGAGGAACGTAGACCAGAACCAACGTCAGAGAGAGAGTTGGAAACTGTTCCAGAAGGTCTGACTGAACAGACGGTGGAACCCCAACCAGATACGGCCTCCACTAAAGACCAGGAACCCACATCTGAACTGATAGAGGTTGCTCCACAGCCAAAAGGTTTGTCCGAAAGCCGGAAATGCAAACAAAAGACCAAGCATTTAAGGCAAACTGAACAACTTGAAGAGCAACCTAAAGAAGAGGAAAAGACTGAAGACCCCAAAGAGGTGGAGGCTTCAGAGCTTATAACTCAGGAAAAGGAGGTGGATCCTGAAGTGATGGAGGGAAGTGAACCAGAACCAAGATCTGGAGAACAGGAAATGATTCAAGAAGAAGTCACTGAACGGACTGAGAAGAGACTGGATGAGCAGAGACCCAAAGAACCAACGACAGGAGAAGAGCAACTCCAGACACCAGAGGGAGTCATCGAGGTGGAAGACGGACCAAGAGCAGAGGCAGATGGTGAAAGGATCTCAGAGGACTACTTCACAGCTAGTCCTTCCTCAACGAGCCTCGTGGTACCGGACTCAGCAGATGCAGAGGAGCCCAGAGCTGAGCGGGTTTCCCCGTGGAGGCGATTCAAGAAGTTCATGACGCCTAAACACCTGCGCCAATACAAAGACAGACGAATCGCGAGATAAAAAGCACCAAGTTTTAGCCTCTAAAGATTCATCTGTCTGTCTATCTGTCTCTCTCTCCCTCTCTATCTGTATTATTGTTCAAATAATTAATGAAGCTAATGTCTCTATCTCTATCCATCCCTCTATCTAAACCAGAACCAGCATCTGAAGAACTGGAAGTGATTAAAGCAGATTGGATGGAACAGACTAAGGAGTCCCGACCAGACACATCTGAACTAACGGAGGTCGCCCAGCAACCAAAAGCAGAGAAACCGGATGTGTACATTTCTGTGTACACCGACACGAACATTTGAAATAATTCAATAAATTCCAACAAACAAAAAAAAACTATTGTCTGGACGGTTTTCTACATTAAGAAATGTTAATTTCTATGAAATGTCTGTGAATTTTAAATGTCTTCTGTACATCATTTATAAGGAGAAACTTATCATTGTCAAACGGATACCAATAAAAATTTACTTTTTGATCTATATGCTCCTCCAAATTATGTTGAGGTTAACCTAATTGGTGTATATTCCTGCTGTATTTGTTATTTGGGGTATACAAATATTCCTTCAATTTTATTTAAAAAAAATAAAGAAAAAAAGAAGGCTAAATTTAGTTTTAAAAAACTTAATAATTGGACGAAGACATTCCATCCATTGATGTCACTCACTGTGACATCACTGTCATGGTGACTGTGATGTCACAGTGAGTGACATCACTGCAGGGATTGTATATATAGGGGGGCGGAGAACTTTCAGTTTGCATCCAGAAACCTCACAGCCTTTCACGCTGCCACAACGTTTCTTTCCCGGCTAATCTGCACCAGAGATACAAACAACCAGCAAAATGAATACCAATGAAGAATTTGTACCACGGAGCGACAAGGTTGAAGACGCGCTTTCGGATAATGACGTCTTTTTTGAGTGCCATTCCCCCACACACTTTGGGGAACCTTTCAACCAGCCAGAACCCGCCCAGCGCTCTGAACACGAACAGCCGGAAAACCAGTCCCACGTTTCTGAGCTTTATTCTGGAGATCGACAACAACCGGTGGAGCGTGCGACACCATTACCGGAAAGGGACGTTCTTTTAGTGGACGACTGCTCCCCACATGAGGCCCACCCTCAGGGAGAAGGGAGCCTCTCTCAGGCCCCTGGTCCCCACCAACAGGGACCAAACCATCAGGAACCATCACTGCTCCGCCCTGCCCACGAGCAGATAAACGATCTGGAGCAAGAACTGGAGAACCTGACGTCAAAGCTGGAAGAGATTAGTAATTTGCTGAAGGAGCAAAGAGACAAAAGCGAAGCTCTAGAGTCGGACGGCTTCGACCACAGAATCGATCTGATGAGGCTTAAGCAAAATTTCAAGTGTCTGAGTAAGAACAAAATGAAATATAAGAACATGTTCAGAAGCTCTAAAGGGAGCTTTAGAGAAATGCT